GATACCTGCATTTCTTTTCTTGCATTTCTTGGGTCTTATTTCAGCAGTTGTTTGAAGGGCCTTAAAAATTGATTTGCTTCATCTTGCATAAATGCTGTCTTCTTTCCCTTTAGTGCTTATTCTCCTGGATGCATGATGTCACTGAAAACAGTAATACAGAAAGTGAAAGACTTGACAAATCACTGAAAACAGGTATCATGGTGACCGTAACCTTCCGAGAGAGAGAAGCTGAGAGGTCTCTTTTTTTCCTCTTTCTTGGGAAGAAGATCCAGGCCAGAAAGCCAAGGGTTGTGTAAGTGCAGGTTGCCCGTCAGGTTGGTTGGCCTAGTGTCACTCTTGTTGCGGTAAAGGACATGCTGAAAGCCTTGTGATAATGTGATGAAGTGCATGCTTCCTCCATCAGGTGCCAGTAGATAAAGACCCAGTCTCTCACCGGTTAATATTTTTCCAGTGAATGGAGGGTTCCCTCCTCATGGGTGTTCATCTGGTGAGGGTGCTCTGCATAGCTGCTGTCAATGAGTCTGGCACCCAATAGCCTGTTTTTTCTCATAGGTTGAATAGGATTGGGAGGACTTGCGCTATCTTCCTGTGTCTGTCAGGAGATCTGTGAGCTGCTGGGCTGTTGCTGTTTGTGCGCGCTTTCAGTGGTAGTTTGAGATCCTGGGAAATCTTTAAAAGGAATCCATGCGACCAAGTAGTTATAAAGCCAGTAGGTATAAAGCCGAGTAGGTATAAAGCCAGTAAATCTTGTATCTGCTGTCTTAAGGCCTTGTTCAAGAAATACATAATGTGGAGGCTACTCCCAATGTTACCTTGAAGAATTTGAGCTGTCCAAAGCTGATTTACTTCAAGGTAAGTCAGAAGGTACTTCAGAAAATTGAAGGTTGAGCACACAGGAGCTAACTTAAGAAACAATCAGGGCAAATGTTGTTGGCGATGGATGTTCCGGGCCGACTGAGAGAGGATTGCAATCTTCCTGCCACTTACACTTTTATGCAAAGTCGGGATGAAGCTTGGAAGTGCTACATGGATAAAGTCAGACAGAAGAAATCCAGCTGTACACATGAGGCATCTTGCTCATGCACAGAGGAAACCACACTGATGCGAAAATGAAGTTCCCCTCTGAAAAGGACTTGTGGTGATGTACATGTAGCAGGTACTAAGTCTTACAGCTTCTCCTTCTTACAAATTCTTTCTCTCTTCCAGTTCATCTTCCAGTTCAGGTATCTCTTACTTTTCTTCTCTATATGAGCCCTTGTCACTGTGTTAGAGAAGGAAATTGTAACTGATTTAGCTTCAGCACTGTTAGAGAAGGAAATTGTGGCTGATTTAGCTTCAGCTTAGCGTAAGTCTGACTCTTGCTTAGCGCTAAGTGTCTAAAGTAGGTGAAGCCTGCAGGCCTCAAGGCCGAACTGTCAATAAACTCGAGAAACATTGCTGGCAAAGTAACTGCAAACCCGGTTAAAGCCAGCTAATGAGGACATGAAACCAGCTAATGAGGATACAGAACAGGATGCGGAAGACAAATGGGGTGCGCTTGGGCTGTGGCTGACCTTCAAGGAGATGGCAAACAGCCTGGGATGTAGGCCAGGACCTGTCAGAAGGAGAGAGACCATCCACTCAGTAAAAAAGACGGGAGGACACCTTCACTGGCAGGCAGGGAAACGAGACTGTAAAGGGTATAATTACCCCAGCATTTCTTTGTTTGAGGTCCCTCCCTGGAGGCACCCAGCTTGAGCTGTTACTGTGCTGTACTACCAATTAAATAAATAAATAATTTTGCTGCTATACATGCGTGAGACTCTGCTCCTCGGAAAGCGAGGGTCAAACTGTTCCACAACACACTGTAAACCTGCCAGTCATTTTTCAGGTTTGTCTATTAATGCAGTGTTTTATTTAGTCAAATAACCTCTGATATGTGGTCATGGTGCTTTTTTTTTCCTAAATAAAATACAAAGTACTATGTAGCAATAAGAAAGTTAAGCAGTAAGTCAGTTAAGTAAATTGTTTTTAATCAACAATAGTAGAACCTAGTCTACTAATGTAAGTAATATATTTAAAAGTAATTGTGACTTTGTAAATTCTCTTGCAAAGTATCTTGCACGGGTAATTATGCCAATGCTTTGGTTAACATTGGGTTAACTTAGCGTTTCTGACACTTTGCTGGAAAGAGGGTTAGAAGTAATACAAAGCTAATACAGGAAGTAGAACCCAAATGTCATTTTCCGTCTGATTAGTGAGCGGAACTGCCTTGCTCTGCCATTTGTGTGATGGCTAGATCTCTGCAAGAGAGGGGTAAGGAACTTAGAGCCATGAGCAAGGGAGAGAACAACCCTCTTTTTGTATCAACTGCAGTTACATCAAATTATCCGAGATAAGAAGCCAACCCTTAGAAGTATTTCTAAGAGCTGTCAAAATGTCTCCTAACATCTGCTCGGCTCCTTTCTCCTTGGGCTTTTATAGTTGTGGGAGTTTTCCTTCTGCCTAAAAACTTCCAAGTTCTGAGAAAAAAGGCAAGTTGCAGAGAGAGGTTGTCTTTTATTAACGCAGCTGGAAAAAAACAGTCGAACTTTCAAGGCACAGGAGCCCTTATTCTGGTCTTCCAGGGTATCTGTAACACTTCACAATTTTACGCTGCAGGGACATTTCTTAACATGCCTTAGCATGCCTTAACACCTTCTTAACATGCCTTAGCATGCCTTAGCAAAAAGGCATTATAGTTTTTGTTTCATTAACACTTTTCCTTTCTTCCTAGCTATTGCGATTTTGTACTATTCGTTATTGCCTTGCTTTAGATAGTAGGCTTGTATTTTGCAGCTTACTTTACGTTTTCCAGCGGGGCCACTTTTTATAGCCAGAAAAACCTCATGTGAAACAAACTGTTTGCCAACGATTCCTGGAGTCCAGGTCAGGAGCTTTGATGGACCCTGGCCAGAAGGCCAGGTTGGTGAGACACAAGGAGATGGGGATTCCTAACAGCTATTTAGTGAAGATGACGCTCTTTCTGCGTGTTTCAAGAGTTTGTGTTTTGATTTTATTGCCAAGATTTTTTTTTCATCCAACTTAGATGCCTGGCTGAGAAAATCAGACGAGTTACTTGTTGGTAGTGGCATTATCTCAGGGTCATGATGAGAAGTTAAGTTATGTTTTCATGCATCAGAACTGCTGCTAGAAGTGGGCTATTCTTTCATGGAAGCAAAGCATTTAAATGACCTGGTTGTTCATATCAACTGAGTTCCAGGATCATCAATGGCACCGCAGTTCCGAATAGAGAGTAGACTCTTAAAATCCTAAAATGTTGTTGATGAGCTTTTTCTTGTTTTTTTTTTTTTTAAGGTAGTGTTTTCCATGCCAACAGTGCATTTCAGCTTCTGAATTCTGTCTCTCCACAGCATGCTCCTACACTGCGTAATAATTTTTCATTTACATTATTTAGCCAGATAGTAGGATGTCAGGTGTCTTCTGTTCTGGAAAGCATCTTCTGAACTAAAACTGTTTTGCAAAGGTTGGGTCACAAGAGACTGTGGGAATATTTTGAAAAGTGCACAGGGAAAAAAATGATGTTTGGGCCCGATCTCATGCCTCAAATCAATCTGTCTGTGCAAATCTCTCCCAACTTCACTGAGCTTGTACGGGGCGAGCAGGCATCTGTCCGCAGACTGGCTCAGCAGCCCTGTTAGCTGATGCCACCTCTCGACTGTGACCAGTCATTCCTCCTCGCTCTCGAGTGCTATTTTGCACATGTGGTAAACCAGCTGGGGAACTGATCTGACTGAGAAAAATCCTCGGGAAACAAAAAACATAACCCTTGACTGACTCAGCTGCTCAATCCGTTCTCCCCAAAGGCCTGGTGACGCTGAGCAGCGAGAGGAAGACAGGGTGCGTGTTCGGTGAAGCTGCCTGAAACCATTCCTGCCTCCAAATGGGAAAGCAAGCCTCAAAGGCAGGCAGCTGAACATCCAACCCCGCAGAAAACTGCATCTGCCTTGTCTGAAAGTAGTAGCTGGGAGTTGTCCCGTCGTTTCACTTTCCCAAAGGAGGTGTGTCTTTCCCTTAGTGAAATCATTTCCCAGGCAGCACAGCCCAGGCTCTCTATCATGGGGTCAGGAGAGGAGCCCTGTTAATTGCATCACCAATGCTACGGTCAATAGAGTAGAGGCAATTTTTTATTGAACTTTGGAGCGAAGAGGGGGGCGTCAGCGTCCTGCTGCCCTGCTCGCCGCGCTCGGAACAGCGCTGTTCTTAAAAGGCAGATCTGTATAGCACCTCTCTCCATTCCCTCTGTTACACCATAACCCCAAGCATGATTATAAAGTCCGTCTTTTAGTTTCTGAAAGTTACAGGTGAACCCTTCTTTCTCCTTCACCTTTTTTTTTTTTGGTACTTGTGAAAAGAGAATTAAAATGTGTTATCAGCAGTTTATATACAATAGTTTAAACCTGCAATTTTTTATGTACCTTACTGTTGGGACCTGCTCTATACTATTACACTGCTTGCAATTTACACACTGTACGTATTACGCAAACACTCTCTGTTCCTGGAATAATAGCTTTTCCAAAAAAAGAAGCTAGGAACTATTCTAAAGCTTCAGTGGCTTGCATATGGTGTGAGCGGTTAATTATTTGAAGGGATGTAAATGAAGAAATAAGAAATGAAAACGTGTCTCGTGCCAGGGAGTGTAGGTATGTGTGATAACGAGTCAGGTAAGTTTTAAAACAGGCTGGCTAAATTGTCTGTTGTAAAGCGCTGGCCTGGCTGAAACTCCCGGGTGGCAGCCGGGCTCCTGGTGTGGGCAGGGCTCTTCCATGGGCCCCACGCCGCAGGGTCACTTTATTTCACTTTAGCAGTGATTTAAAATGTAAAACCAACCAGCAAATCTGTAGAACCTCTTCCTCTAAAGCCTTTTCTGTGAGAAAAATTTTGAGTAGCGACATCCCGAGGTTCTCTGTGTCTATTTTTTGATATTAAGAGTATGCTTAGTCTTTGGGAGGAAAATATTTTAATGTTGGAAAAACGCTTGTCTCAGTTAAGGCAAGTCATTCAGACCTCTTCTTCCCATAACAACAACCACAGATAAATAGGATTAAGGGATTACGGCAACGTATATGCAACCAGCTTTTTCAATATGAACAAGCATCTCTGATTTAATTCTGAAAAAAGAAAAACATGCACTCTGCATGTGTTAAATTTCTGGTCATAGTGACACTGTGTAACTGCTCACCCCCCTCCCTCTGGTTACCTCCCACCTTTATTTTTCAACTACCAATGAGAGTCTCGAAGAGTCAAAAAGTTGAGTTTCATCTTCCACATAAGGCTTTATATACAGGAGCAGAGGCAGGCAAGAGCCCTGCTCATGAGGGAGACTGTTCTGCAGGACCGGCTGCGTGCTCCTGTGAGCGAGGTTTGTTCTCTTAAAACATTAGGAACTCGTTAGCTGCTCTGGTGCTTATTGCTGAGGGAGAGGGGGCAGATAGTGAAAATGGAGAAATTAAAGAATTATTTTTTTTCTGCTCAACAAATCATTTAAAGCAAAATATATGGCAAATCCTACTGGGGGTCTTTTAAGAAACTATGCTCAAAAGCTGGGTTGGAGAGAGGTTACTACCTCTTTGCTGGTTTCTCCTGCTACTAGAGTTGTATAAATGTAGTAAAAGAATCAGACTGATGCTTTGCTGTCTATTTAAATTAGGCTCTCTGATTGTCTAAATGAGTGCTTGAAATCAAATTCCTCTTATCAGTGCTGTTCACGTTTCGCAGCTATATAGTTTTTGGAAGATTTTTGGTAGTTTTCTCGAGTATGCTGGATGTAGTTCACATCTTAGAAGAAGGCTGTATATCAGTTGCTTTTATATGTTGCTGCATGGTGCCTTTGTGCATTTTCTGTCTTTTTCAATGTGGTAGTGATCTCCTGTCTCAGGAGCTTAAAATGCCAGGGAGTTTGAGGTAGTACCGGGGAGAGGAGCATCTTCATATTGCAAAGTTTTCAGCTAAGAGAGGAGAAAGAATGTGAATAATACCCATATATTGACCAATTTGCATTTGTAATCGTGTAAAAAGAGTAGATGACTTGCAGGTTTGCCATGTGCTGATAGCGTTTCCCTTGGCTGGCAGAGGAGACTGCTCCCAGGCAATCACTGATCCCACTTCTCTTTGTGCACCTACCTGATTTTGCCTCTGGTAGGTTCGGTCTCCCTGTATTTTAAAGGTTGCACATGCCCTATAAAGAGGAGAAAGGGGTTTCTGAAGGCTGGGGGCTTGCACACAGTGGTGGTGGCGGCAGAATGTGCTCTAACGCCAAGGAGAATTTCTCCGGGGCTTTGAACAGCATTACCCTCAGTGATTTCAGTTTCTGTTCCGGCTTGGGCGCTCAGGAGCTCCATGGGGAGGGGCTTGAAGCTTGAGCAACCCTTTTCTTATGCTTGCCCATGTGGTGTTTCTGAGGAGAAAAAAAAAATCCATCTGTAGCAAGAATACTTAACCAATCTCAGCAAGTGGTTTTTATCATTTTCCTTCCCCTTTCTTCTATTTGTGCGCAGCCATGACAACTTTGCCTCAGGGCAGAATTTATTTTTTATTGTTACTTGAAATGTGTGCTGTCTTTTACTTGGCTAACATAATAAGAATACAGCGACTCTTTATTTTTGATTTAGATGTGAAGCTTTCTGTTTTTCAGGGTCTACTTGCTCACTCATCCACCAGAAAACAAGGACTGGGATCAGACTTAAGCTGTAAGGCTGAGCATCTGTGTTTCTCGCTCTCTACGAGACAGACCTGGCGATTCTTTTCTAATGTACTTCTCTTTCATTGCGTCTAGCTTGGTTAGCAGGAAACACAAGGCTATAGCTATTTCCCAAATGCTTTGTACTCATGCCAAGGCATTCTTCTGAGAAATACTCAAAGTTCAACAACCGAAACATCTGTGTTACTTGCTTTAGCCTAGGTTCACTACCAAGCTCTGCGCAGAACAAGTGTAGTTAGTGAACTATGTCTAACTATTAGCAAAACCTTTCTGGAATGGGGGGAAAAGTGAATGGTCAGGTGCTGTTTAGGGGGCCGGATAACACAGGCAAAAACCTGAAAAGATTCCAAATGCAGGTAACAAACGGTTATGTGCATGAGCATGCTACCAGATACGGGAGTGTGCACCCTTTTCCCATCTTCTGACAGGCCTGCAACACACCACTTAGATGGGTTGTTAATGTCTAAACGTATGTCTTGCTAACTGGCTATGCTTTCCAAAATCCTAATCGTTTTTTGAGTTGGGGCTGCTGCGGTTGCTGAACTTTGTGCTGAAGAGCAGGTATCCAACCCATGGTATAGTAGCTAGGAAACCGCTGGCCGTTAGCCCTTAGTCCAGTCTACGAGAAAATGCATGTTGGCCACTGGAGTTAAAGCCGTTGATGTGCGCTTACTATGGAGGAAAAGAAGAGATGAGCAGAGCTGCTGAGTGTCAGGGTGTGTTTCACATCGATCGCCGTGAAGCTGCGACGGCTGCTGTTTTTAATGAAAGCGGGCCAACACCTAGTAAACACTTGCATCAGAACAAGTGCAACATGCTTACGGAAGTGTAACTTTAGTAAGCCAAACTGCGTATTGTAAGCCATAGGGAACTGAAAAGCAAATCAAGATGCTCTTGAAGACTTTGTGATTTCATTCGTAACAGCAGCAAGGGAGGAGAGGAAAGGCCGTACACGGAACAGCAAAGAGAACGAACTTTACTTCAGGTCTGGTGTGCTGTCCTTAACACCCTGACTCCGGGCACCCTGTAGGCCACTTTGAATCAAGGGAAGCTGGGAGAAGGAGGAAGGTTCTCAGTTAAAATTGCTAGCTTCTTCAACTTCAGAAATTCAGTCCACCTAAGCTAGGAGAAAGCATGCAACTTGCAGGCATTGCCAAAGCAGGAGATGCTATTCCCAGTGTCAATAAATCAGCAATGATAAGAGGCTGTTGTCACAGGATTCCCTCACTGGCTGCAGACTTATTTTAATAACATAACTTGAAATGGCTTTTGCAGAAAATGGGGGAGACTTTGGGGTATTTAACTCGAGTACAGAGGAAAGAGCTCTTGTTTGTTGTACAATATGTGACTTAATGACTTGGTGTTCTTAATGGCTGAGTCTGTGGTAGGCGATATTCTCTTGTTTTCTGCTGAATGATGTTTGCCAAGCCTAAAAAATAAGAAATGACTTAACACAAGTTTTAAATAGTAAAAATGTCACTGACAACCTAATACCTTATCATCTTATGCACCTAGAAAAGACCTCGACAAAAGTGCTAGTTAGTGAACAATTTAAATGCAGTAAGCAGAACTGCATTTCTGCAGCTGAGAGTTTTGGTAGAGTTTTGGTCTTTTCTGAGAGGAAAAAAACAAAAAAACAAAAAAACCCCAAGAAGTGGCAATGACCCAAAGAACGCGCAAGATTGTTGTAAAATTTTGTTAGGGTGCCGAGAGAAACCATTTGTGTCATGGGATAGGACTCCAAAAAGAGAAGTTGATAAGGACTGCAGCAGAAGACAGTAGTGGAATTTAGCTGGAGACAGGAGTTCACAGTACATGAGAAAGGAGAAGAGAAATTAAAAACAGCTGGAAGACAAATATTTAGCAGAAAAAAGCAGCCACCTGGAAAGCATGGTCATGAATGTCTGACAGAAAGCGAGACTATCTCGTACAAAAGAATTACAGTTGAGAAGAGGCTTTGGGGAAAAACAACTGAAAATGGCAGAGGCACAGCGGAACAACTAATCACAGGAGAAGAGAGAAACGATCATGGGGTATCATAGCCAGGAAACGGCACTGATCATGAAAAAAAGGAGACCTAGCTATAGGAAACGCTGAGAGGACAGTGCCATCTGCAGCGAGACGGAAAGGAGAAGAAGCAGTTGTGAGTGGCTGCAGAGGGAGGCAGGTTTGTGGCAGAGCACTGACAAGCCCGTCGCTAGAGCAGCTGAGCAGGTCGTGGTGGACCAAAACGTGGACCTGAGACTGAAAGGACCCTGCTAGGAGTGGAGAAGAACCCACTGCTCATCCTTCCCATCGGGATAGGGACAGAGCCGGTGGCTGTGTAAAACATCTGTGGAGCGACGCTCCTAACCATCCTGGATGAAGAACCGTCCCCAAGAGCGTCCTGGGAACAGGGAGTTGGGGGGGGGGGAGGGGAATGGCTAAGAGGGAGGTTGGTAGAAGCCTTTTAAGTTGGATAAGGTCCTTGGTAAAGAAAAGACCACAAGAAGTGCTAAAAGGGCAAATATCAGCCCAGCTGTCCTCAGAAGCTGATCCTGGGACTTGTCCTGTTAGAAATTTTCACTGACGATCTTCAATGACAACTCTGTCCTCTGCTGATGAGATTAGCTGTTACGCAAGGCCAAGAGGTATCGGAAATCCAGGCAGGGATCTGAGTATCGCTGTCAAAGCCCTGTGCTTCTGAGGCCGCTGGGCCGCTGTAAAGCGAAGCGTTGTCCACGCAGAGCTTGGATGACGAGGTGCTGCTGCCTTCGATGGCAGGCCCTGTCCTGCCCTGTGGCAGGACGACCCTGGCGGCACGTACGCGGCAGGGTGGATGCCCGAGTGCTGTTTGCCCGGGCTCACGGTGGCCCAGGGCCAGAGTGCTCAGTGCCTGCTCCCCGCTCAGCTTTCATTTCTGAGTCGGAGAGAGAGATTTACTGCCCCAGGACTGGCCCCGCGGGCTCCGAGCGCGCCGTTCCTTGCCCCCAGTGCCCGCTGCCGCTTATGGGAACCGTTCTGGACCTCGCGGCTTGTTGCAGCTTGTACCACTGTCCGTAAGGGTGGTGGTGTCTCCGTAAGGTACAGCTGCATATGTGTTGGCCGGTGAGCATGTGAAAGGTGCTCTTTGGCACTGAAGTCAGTCCTCCCTGATATTAATATGTGCTGAGAACTGGCTGTGTGTCCGGCCGGTTATTAGTTGGGTTTAATTATTGTTTGTATTATTGCTGTGTTTTTTTAGGGGAATGTCCACCTTTGAGTATGGCAGCACAAGAAAGATAGTGATTTTAACAAGATCTGACTTCTAAATATCTAATAGTCAATATAAGTGAAGGGAAACAATGGTCTTGTGAAACATTTTTTTTGTTATTATTCATGTCTAGAGCCACTCGTAAGAACTTCTAGTGAAAACATGCTCAGAGCAGTGTGATATTTGCGTTGAGTGTTAGGCATGAAGAGATATGATGCATGTATATTGTATTTACATTTACGGTATGTATCTATGCATGTTGCTTCCTCCTGTTTTATTGCTGTTAGAACCCTTCCTGCTTTGGTGTTTCACTGAGGCAAAATGGACTTTTTTGTCTGAGTAAAGTGCTAGTGAAAAAATCTCTGAATCCACGCTGAAAACCAGCAGCAAGAGTGTAAGATCTTAATTTCTCAGTCCCATCCTGAGTGTTTTGTGCTTCCCAGATCTAAGGTCACAAGCTGTGGCAGAGAAGGGCCAGATTCCCCCAGAAATAACTAAGGAACCACTAGCTGTTAGTCATGGAGTGAAATGGCACCTTTCCTCTGAGCAGGGAGAGTTGTTCTTGACTTTGGGGTGAGGAAGAAGGAGGCTTTCGAATGGAAGTATGCAACCGTTCAGCATCCAGCTGGGGAAGAATTAGCAAATTTTACCCATGGGTGACTTGACTGGCTGCTACAGTTTGGCCACCTACATCCATCCGATTTACCTGCTTTGTTTCCTGCACGGTGTCGCTACCTGTCCTGTTCCTCCCCTTTCTCTTTCAGAAGATCCAGGTGATCTGAAGGAACTAGAGATGGCCTCTCTGCCTGTTGTTACAACCCAGCCTCAATATGGCGTGCCTGTTTCATCCATATCGAGAAACACGTGGCAGACAGGGCTGATGGACTGTTGCACTGACTGTGGCGTGTGTAAGTGCTTGACCACGTATCTTATTTTGACCATCCATGTGAAGAGGGGCTTCGGGCAGCTGCTGAGACGGCTGGTGTGGTGTGGTGCGGTGCGGTTTGTTGCATGCCTTCTCGCAGCTGCCCTTGAAGCGATGCTAACACCTGCTCGTTCAGGTAAACAGTGGAATAACTAGAGCAGCGTAACCTGCTCCCTGAAAAGGTGGTTTTTGTGGTGGGATAATGAGCACCTACGTTGAAATGCTGTGAGATATGAGGCTCAGGCAGCATTTCCGATGAAGCATGACACTCTGTCCCTCACCTCACCTCATTATCTCCGGCTAAGAAAGCAGGACCTTGTCCCTGGTTGCTGACAGCAGGCTAACGGAAGGTGTCAGGTGTTTATCGTGTTGCAGAAGCAGAGCTTTTCTTGGTGAAGACAATACAGGCAGTCCTAATTAGCAGACAAAAAACTGCAGGAAGCTTGCAGTCTCTCACGCCGTAGCCCCTGTGTTTCTCCTTTTATTTTTGTACGCACGTCTGCTTCCCTCCTAAGGGTGGCTTTGATGGGGACAGGCTACAGGAACCGGAGGCAAACCCTCACTTGTTGCTGTGTTTCATCTTATTCCAGGCCTCTGCGGGACGTTCTGCTTTCCTTGTCTTGGATGTCAGGTGGCTGGGGATATGAGCGAGTGCTGCTTGTGCGGTACCAGCGTGGCGATGAGGACCCTCTACCGCACCAGATACAGTATCCCGGTAAGTGATTAATCCTTTGTTTCACCTTGCTCAGAGAGTAAACATGAAATGCCCTCAGAGGCCCCTCTCTTTGGACATAATGAATGTGTGGAGGGCAACAGCGTTGTTCGTTTGCCGGTTTTCACTCGTTCCTCAGTGTGTTACTTCCTGAGTGAGGTTGGGAGCACAGAATGGGAGTCAGGAGACGTTTCGCCACACAAATCCCTGGGCTGCTTTTAGAAAACTGATTTTAATCTTATGCAACTCCTTTACAGCATCCTTCATCGCATGAAGGAAGGCTTCCTGTAGCACTGCAAAAACCAGAAGAAACATGTCCTAGAAACATGTCCTAGAAACATGTCCTGCTTTCAGCTGTTCTTGACCATAGTGATTCACAGGGTCTTGGCTTCTTCTTCTCCACTCCATAATGAACATAAGGTATAGGAAAAGATTTGAGATTTTTGGAGGCATAATAAATAATAAAATCAGTCATTTTTTATGCCTACTGATACCCCTCTTTGAGGAGATGTGCTGGCTGGCTACTGTTACACAGATAAACCTCTATAATAAGGTGCTAGAGAACTGTATTCGTTCATATACAGTAAATATGGCAAATCATTTCTTTTCAGAGGGAAATTATCATTGTCCGTAGCACAAACCAAAGTAACCTAATTCCAATTCATGATAATTGCCTTTTTGTTTGTTTTTCCCCTCAATCGTAACCTAAGGAGCCAAAAGACAAATAGCTATCTGAATCTTGTATTAAATTCTTTCTTTTTTCTTTCTATTTTATAGCTTTTTGCAAGTCCTCTATATTCTACAACAAATGCAGTCATTAATACTGAAATGTTTTAGTCTTTTTAAAGCCTGCTACTCTAGATTCTGCAGCTAAATGCAAAGGGAGAGCATCGAAGAGGAAAAAAAAAGACACGTGGACTATGATTAACTCATTCTTAGGTGAAATGTGGTTTTTGGAAAGGTCTGCAGTCCTAAGTCATCTCTTTTTAACAGGGGTCCATTTGCTCTGACTTCTGCATCACCCTGTGTTGTCCTGTGTGCTCTGTTTGTCAAATAAAGAGAGATATTAACAGGAGGAGAGCACTTGGCATATTCTGGTAAGTTTGGCTGATTGCTACTTATTTATAAAGGCACCGTGTGAAGCCCAGCAGAAGCTCAGGCTCTCATGGTCCGCCAGTGGCTGGCCTAAGGCATACGGCTGCTGTGATGCAGAACTGGAAATAACAGGGTGGTAACAGTGACCTGTCCCACAGCAAGACGTTACCGGGACCCTTCTGCAAGGGAGGAGGCCAACGTCTCCGGGAGGGTGTTTGTGGGGCCCCAGCTCTCTGGAGGCCAAGGAGACCTGGGGGCATAAACCGGCTGAGAGGGGCCAGCTGCCAAAACAGGCCTGACAGGGATGGAGGGGCAGGGAACGGCGAGGGTTGCCGGTGGGAGGCGGCACTGTGACGGCAGCGTGCCGGCGGGGCGGGGGCGCCGTGGCGGATGCCGCCGGCCTCGCTGGGTGCCGAGGAGTCGCTCCGCACAGGAGTCGCCGGCGGCGCTTTGGGCTTGGAAACGTGCCACGGATGGATGGCTTTGCTTGATTGTTACCGACTCCTCCTTTCCTCCTTAGAATCGGCAATAAACCGTAATGCTTCGCTTCACTTGCACTGTGTGTCATCTTTCTGCACCACCTGAGATGTCCTGAGACACTCTTCCTCCTCCTGCTACTTACGTTTCAGCAGCTTCCTTTTGTCCACAGTGCAGCTGTGCCCTGTGCCCTGTTGCACAGAGAGATTTGTGCTACTATTTTTTATTTACAGAGCTTTTAAAAAAGTATTTTTAATATGTAAGCAAGCGATGTGTGTTTTACTCATCCAGAAGGTAAACTCTGGAAATAATTGTTTTTCTTTCTCTTGGGCTGAAGCTGAATTTTCCAAAAAGTGAAATTATTTCAAATTACTACTGCAGCAAAAAAAAAATTTAAAAAAAGAAACATGGCTGGACACTTTACAGCATTTTCTCTTTGGGAACAACAGCTTTCGGCCAAACACTATTTTTGTGGAAGGAGAAGAAGGGGGGGAGCAGAAGTGGGTTGTGTGCGGGTCAGAGCCCCGCGCTGGGGCCCAGCAGCCCCTTCCGTGCAGGCAGCGGCAGGGTCACTGAGCACAAAGCTGCCTCAGTTTCCATGGCCAGGGCTGGCCGCGGGGGCTGCTGGCCTGACCCTACCTTCTCCCACAGGTTGTTACCCTGGAAATGCAGCGACTGAGGCTGTCCTGGGTGGCAGAGCTTCACACGCTGCAAGAAAGCATCACGGCAAAGCAAATTCCGTCCTTGCAATTCCCTTGTCTTTGCAGCTGCAACCTTCTCCTCCAGCACTGCCTTTGCCGACCTGGCCGAGAAAGTACTCCTCGCAGCTCTGCCGTGGGATTTGTGGCTGTCTGTCACAAGCCGCACTCGTGCACTGCAACGCAGGCGTCAGCAGAGGCCTTCGTGGTGAACATGCTCCTCCAAGGAGACTGGCAATAAATTCACACCCACTCGCGTGTAAAAACATCTTCGGGCCATGGGTAGGCCAAGTCCGCTTTGAGGGCAAACTCTGCCACCCCCTGGCCACAGCCAGACAGAGCACATTGGCTGAGGGTTTGGTCTTAAAATATGGGTTTTGCTTAAACCGCACCAGAGAGACAGCAGAGAAGTCGTAGCTGCCCTCATCCCATCGCTTGTGGAGCGTTACCAAAGGACTCTTGGGCTGTACAGGTCTCCTCCCAACTTTACTCTTAGCAAATCTGAATTTTTGCAACAGGGACCCAAGAAACTCAGGTGTATCGCAACTCGGCAGCCCTCAATAGTGTTGTCCAACTCGCTGCTTGTGCTCATAGCTAAGGGAAGCCAGGAATCCCCTCCGCAAAATGTGCGGCCTCTCCTTTATGTGAAGCCCAAATGCTGTAAAGGTGTGCCCGAACTCTGCCTGTGCTGCAGAGCCGCGCGGTGGTGGTCCTCCCCACGAGCCAGGCGCCACCTTGCCCAGCCCTGTCTTTTGGATGGTCCGCAGAAATCGGGAAAACACCACTGTCATCCTAAGAAAGTTAAAGCACAGCTATGAGGAGAGGGAAGAAATACCACACGTGAGGGCTCTTTCCAGCATGGTGTAAGGAAGTGATGAGAATTTGTACCCAGGGTTTGAGGGAGCACCTGTGTCACCCAGGGGAATCATTTCTTTATGACAGCCAGGCTTAACTATAAAACTGCCTAGCAGGAACCATACTTCCACCAGGAAATTTCTTAAAGCAGTGCAAAAGCTTGAATCCAAACTCTCCTTCTCAGCAAACTGTTACTCTCCGAAACCAGTAGCTCTGATAAAGCATGCGGGCAAGCGAGAGACAACGCGAGGGACAGCAACAGGCGCCCTGGAGAAGCAGCACGGCTCCTGAAGGGACGCGCTCGGGGGGAAGGCTGGCATGACGCAAATCAGGCGACTGTTGTGCACTCTGCTCCAGCAGCCAGCGGGCACAGAGGTCGCCCTGGGCGGCGCACCCAGCGCACATATAAAGGGCGAGGAGCAGGAAAAGGCAGCTCGCCTCCCCGGACGAGGGCTGCTCGCAGGTGGTACGTGCGTATGCCTCTCTTTCTTCTGGCAAGGTTGGCTGGGTAAAAAACATTGGTATTGGCTTAGCTGCTCAACGGGTTGTTGCCTAGGAAGGAGATGTCGTGAAAGCACAAGTGCGCTTTTCTACCTTGCAGGCGTCTTCGAAGCAAAATTAATGTGTCAGGTGCCACTGATGGGCATTTTAACAAAAGTGTGCAGCAAAGTTAGAGTGAGCACAGCTTGCTTGCTGTCACATTATACTGTTAGACGCGTATGAAGATACAGAAAAAATGATGACTTACGACCTTTGTTGCTGGTGAAATTAGGCTGCATGCACTTCAGGATCTATTTTGCCTCAATTTGTCATTTAAGCAGTCGTCAGTGTCTCAGAGCTGTCGGGTTTGAGCCGAGGGCGTTTGAAGTCGCGCATAGAGAACGGTGCTGGACACTGTCCATCCCGTGCGAGAAGGCTGCGCATCAGGCGCTTCTTAAGGGTGCTGCATGCTCCCCGGTGTCTTTTCTGTCCATTGCAAGGACACGGTGCTGTCAGATTTTGAGAAAGGCCGGGAAAGCAGATGGCTGGATCCATCTCTAAATGGCGTAACGTGTATTTAGTAATGAGCCCCGTCAAGTCCGATTTTTCCACGTGCTGGGATTAATTCTGTTATCTGGCTGCAGGAGTTGACCATGCACTCCAACGTTTCCTCTTGAACAGGTAGATGATTTTGCCTGGGGCTGAAGGCCCTGCACACGCCTGTTTCTTTGCGGCCGCGGTGTGCATGGGGCCAGGAGAGACGCTGCTGGAGCAGCAGCTGAGCAGGGCTGAGGCTGGGGCGGCGGTCAGGCTCGGTGCTTGCTCCGCTGATAGGTGGGTCCTGGTCTCGCTCCAGGAGAGCGTTGTTCCTCAGCTAAGGCTTCTAATTTCTCCAAGGATGGTGGTGTTGCAGGCAAAGCAGTCTTGATTTGGGGAACTTTTAACCTCATTTACTTTATTGCCACATAACGCAAACTTCTCATCACTGATTTGGGTATTGTGAAAAAAAATGAAAATAATTAAACAAAGACTTAAGTAAACACCCTTTCGCTGTTTCCCCAAGGCTCAAGTTAAGCCAAACACTGCTCTGTCCGTCCCAACTCCCTTTGGCGAGGCCACGGGCAGCGCAGGAGGGTGAGAGGGTGGGGGTGTGGGGGTGTGGGTGTCCCTTCCCGGGGGGAGCGCGTGCACGAGCTAGCAAGGCGCTCGTGCGTAAATCAACTGGGGGCTCGTGCATGAACTAGCTGGGTGCACAAGCGTAAATTAGTATGCGGCCACGCATAAATGAAGCCGGTGAACTAATTGCACACGCGAGTGCTGCTTGGGGGCAGAGTAATGGCACACTCAGGCATCAATAACTGTGTGCTGGCGTGTGACGTAAGTGGGCGCAGGCGCGCAAACAGACTGTGCTTTCGCATGGCACCTCGTTGCACGCTCAGGCATGCGCTAGCTGTGTCCTGCTCGTGTGCACGTTTGGGGGGGTGCCCACGCGTGAACTGGGCACTCGCATACAAAAACCCGATGGCGGGTTTGTGTGTGAATTAACTGCGCGCTCGCGAAAATTGCTCGCACGCTTCTGCATGGATTAAGCGTGCTCTCATGTGCGAGGGCAGTAAATGCTGCGACTCGGGCCGGCACGGGCAGGAGGAGCCGTGCGGGAGCCAGGCCAGCTGGCTCGGGGAGCACTCAGGCCTTTGCGCGCTGCAGAGACAAAGACACCAGGTTGGGCACCAAAGACGTTGAGTGGCGGCTGATAGGCGTCGTGCCTATCTCGCGCCCAGCACCGTTGGCCACGCCAGCCCTCAGGGTGGGGTGCTTGTTTGCGCATGCATCAAAGGTCTTGGCTAACAGCTCTGGTCACTGCAGGGATACACAGTAAGCAGAAGCAGTGTTTTTTCTGCTCAACAGCCAGCTGAGCAACAATAACGCCTTTGTCCTTTAACCTTCAGCTTGCGTTGGTTACTGAGGCAAGCCTGCTAGATGGCTGTTTGCCCTTCAGGGTAACTAGCAGGCTGGAATTATACAATGGAAGAAGATACTGGTATCTCACCATCAGTCTAGTCATACTTCTGCTGTTTGCAAAAAGTCCCTCCTCATAAACGAATCATAGGGAGAGTTTCTACAGCCTTTCTTCCGTGTCGCAGCTTGTGTTACGGCAGAATCAAACTCCCTTCTTCCTTCTGCATACTGTTATAGGGGAAAAGGGTCGTTGTTACCACGAAAGAACTGCTGGGAGGCGACATTTAGTTGTCAGGCAGCGGTCTGTCTTGGGAGAGCAGGGTGGGCTTTCTGAAGGCAAACCCACGTGGCCAAGCCAGCCTGTAAACACCGGCCAACTATCCGTTCTGCCTGTAGAGCACCTCAGCCACCTGCTGCGTGCTGAGGACAGCCAGCACAAATGAAATATCAGGAAACACCCTTCTACCTCTCTAGTATTAACTGAAGGCAATGCATTTACTGGACTTTTTCGAGCGCTCAGGATAGTAATATACTTATTATATGGTATTTTTCGAATCTTGCTTCTACTGCTTAAATTCTGTGTCACCATATAATGCCACCACAAAAGCACTCCCATTCATTTTTAATAGCATCATATGAATTAATGCCACCTTCTCTTTCGTTAAAAAGCAAATGATTACCTTGTTCTCTTCCTGCCCCTCCCAGCGTCCTGAAACGGTGAGGTCAAGCCCTCTCTCCCTCGAGCCCGGGTTACACCCGGGAAGGGAGCGCTGGGCTGCTCTGCGCAAACCCCATAACCTGCGACACGCAGCTCTACCTAATGCGCCGGCAGCACAAACATGCCGAAGCCGAGACAGTGAGGGCACACGGGAAAAAGAGTTGGCCAAAGACGTTCTGGCAAACACACGTAACGCTAGTAATGAACTAATTGGGTGGCTGCGTGGGGAAACCAATGAAAGCACCAGGGAAAAGGCAGGCCCAGCTGACCCAAGCATGGCAGAGGCAGCAGCTGGTGGGACGAAGCTGGGCATGGCACGGGGGCTGCCGGCAGAGCTGCCAAGGCATGGAGAGACCCTCCGGGGCTGGAGATGCAGCCGAAGTCATTGCGGGAGCGAGAGGGATCGTGGCAAGGGGAAGGAGCTGTGCAGCCCTCTCGGAGCGCACAGGCCCTCGCCACAGCAGGTAAAGAGAGCTTGGGGTCGCTCGATGCGATCGATGAGCCCCAGGAGGCTGAGGAAGAGGAGGACGAGGAGCTGGAAGAGACGGGTGAGAAGAGGAAGGACGGGAAGGGAGGGAAGGGAACAAGGATCATGTTTATCACAGTGAAGAATGATAAGGAAAAAGAGCTGCCTTGAAACCTGCCAAGAAAACAAGCTGACAAGAAAACAGAGAAGAGTGTGCCTGATAGGCTGCTCTAGAGGGAGAGGCAAAGGGATGAGATACTGGGGGAACAAAGCACAACAATAGGATGATTAAAGAGAGCTTAAGAGAGGTGGGACAGAGCTCTGAAAGCCTCATGGCACTGTGAACACAAAAAACCAACAAAACAAAACAAAACAAAACAAAAAACAGGTAGAAGCAGACAATGGAAACATTTAACCCGGAGATTAGCAGACAGGATTGACCTATGGAAGCGCTGCGCTCCTGAAGCAGCTAGGCCCCCGGAAAATGAAGCATTTTCCATGCATAGGTGGGATGATGAGATTTACTGCCCCAAGACTGGCCCAGAACGGGCTGTTCCTTGTCCCCAGGCCCTCTGCCACTTGCAGGGAAACCACTCCGGACCTCGCAACTTGTTCAGCCACCAGTGATGGGGAGGGTGGTGGTGTCCCCGTGATGGGGATCTGCAAGGTACACGGGCCTGTGTACCATCTCAGAGTACAGCATGAGCACAATATCCAGTGTAGAAATATCTACAGTATCTTTCTTCCATATCTCTACCTTCCAGAACAGAAACTGCCTCGAGTGACCCGAAAGCTGTGGAAATGGCCTCTCATCACGTGATTACGATCCAGCCTCAGTTTTCCAGTCCTCCACAGGCGAGTGAATGGCAGACGGGGTTGCTGGACTGCTGCTCTGACTGTGGAGTGTGTAAGTGGATCGGGAAGCTCTTATTTTTGGCGTTTACCCGCTGTGCATTTCTGGCATGTCCTCTGCTCTTTTAGTGGGGACAGTGGGAGTGGGGCGCGATGACTCTTCAGCGGGACGTGTACAAGTCCCGCTCACGTCTCCCCTACTCTGACCTGGAGAGGGAGGCGGGCGAAGGTGCCGTCGGGGCTTGCAGGGACTCAGGGACAGAAACCCATGGGAAGTGACTCGGCTTGTTCCAGGGCTCATGGAGCAGCTGGGTTTACCACTTTAACCACCAAACAGTCCTCCTGGAGACAGGGCCCGGGTGGTTTTTTCCCATGAGGGAGGTGGGTCAGGCTTCCACAGCTCGCCTCCTCTTCTTCTAAGCAAGGCTAAGAAAGCAGGACATCGCCTCCGACTGCTGGCAGCAGGCTGGCGCGCAGCATGCCAGGTCATCACCCGTGTTGCAAACCATGTTTTTCTTGCTAAAGGCAGTAGAGCCGCTTTTGTTAGAGGCTGAGGTTGCAGCCTCCTAACACAGCTCTGCAGGTCTTTGAAAGGGCTCTCCAGCTGCCGCTCTGGTTTGCCAATACGCCCCGGGTTTCTCTTCCCCTTCTCTTACCTCATCTGCTTCTCTTGCCAAAGAGCACCTTTCCTTTTTCTCACCTCCCTGTAGGTATATGCGGCACCTTCTGCTTCATTTGCCTGGGATGTCAGGTGGCCGGGGACATGGACGAATTCTGCTTGTGTGGCTCAAGCGTGGCAATGAGGACACTCTACCGCACCAGATACAACATCTCAGTTAGTGATTCACCTCTTCCTTTGCCCTGCTTAAGGACTAACACTTTGTAGGCACATCCACAGATGTAAGCTCAGCTCCCAGGCTCAGGGTGCTTAGGTGCAACGCTTACTCACCGAGCTTTGCCCAGGCGATTCAAAAGGGCATCCGACGGGGAGAGCAGCGTTTGGGAGTCTCACGGATTGGCGCAGCCCCACCAGACTGGCCACCAGGGATCCATGTGATTTCCTTGACAGCCCGATTGCAAAGTGATCTCCTCGACAACCTGTTGGGCAATCACAGCTTCCTCACTCTTGGTTTTCTGGGTTTTTTTCCCCCCTCAGCATCATTCAGCCCTCCTAAGTGGCCTGACTGAGGCTAGGTTTTTGTAGACTTCAGAAAGACGATAAAATAGACTGGGGGCGGGGTGGGGGAAAGGGTGACTTTAAAAAGGCAAATCAAATCAGAGGCTGAATTATTTTTATGATGGCTTTTTCCACCCAGGGGTCCATTCTGACCGATTACCTCAGCATCCTCTGCTGCCCCTGCTGCTCCCTCTGTCAGTTAAAGAGAGATATCAACAAGAGGAAAGAGCTGGGCATATTCTGGTAAGTTGGGCTGATTTCTAAAGCTGACAGCAGCGTGCTGGAGGGGCCGGGGCGCTCGGGGCGAGCAGCGGCGGGTGACGCGGG